ATTCCCCTCAAAAAATTCTTTCGCTTTTCACTTCAAACTTTTTTTTAATAAGATATTACTATCACACAGTGTTTTGAATTCTATAAGTTCCTGTAAGCGTATACATTAAATCTGAACTGGACCTTCCTTTCAGCTACTTATGAGCCAAGGCCTGTTCCGTCAGAACCTAAAGAACACGAGTCTATCATGCCAGAAGTACCAGAGAGGAAACCTGGTAGAGTGACTTTTTTCAATAGTTCTTTGTGCTTTTTACAAGATAATTTCTTGACTCTGTTGAAATGGAGAAATGCAGAATGTCTAAATCTATTGATCCAGTCATACATGCAGTAAAACACTCTAAGTGTCCCCTTTAGATAACAGGAATAAAAGTACACTTCCAATCTCAAGACATCCCACTGTACTGACAATAATGTCCTGTTATACTGCGAGGAATAAAACCCATATGGGACACTATATTTCTTCATCTTAGGACCATGCATTACATTTTCATTCTAAGATGGAACGCCTCTGAGGTATCTTGGGGTACGTATCTGTTACCCTGTCCTTCAACCTGGAGATTCTGACATTATGTGGGGGTTGTTGCTTTCTTCCAGTTGCAACTGAGGCTGATAGTTATCTTCCTGAAATATTGAGCACACCAGAACTCCCAATTAGCAGACCTGGTAATTATGTGTTTTTATGTGTTTGATAAAATTCTATGCAGTGTGATTGTTGCTAAATAACACATTAAAGCATTACTTAGACAAAAGGTGGTCCTGGACTCAACAGAACTTTGAAAGACATCCGTGTGGGACACATGTAGAACTTTGGTACACAGATCCCTAATACTAGAAGACCCCGCTGCTAAACTTTTTTTTTTTCTCATGCTATTTTTAAGTCCATTTTCCTCAGGTTCTACCTCTGTTCCCCACCAAAAATTCTTTTCACCTCAAAATTTTTTTTATAAGATACTACTATCACACAATGTTTGAATCCTATTCATTCCTGTCAGGATATAGATTAATTCTGAACCACACCTTCCTTTCAGCTTCTTATGAACCAAGCCCTGTTCCGACAAAACCTAAAGAACATGAATCTATCATGCCAGAAGTACCAGAGAGGAAACCTGGTAGAGTGACTTTTTTCAATACTTCTTTCTGCTTTTTGCAAGATAATATCTTGACTCTCTTCTAATGGCAAAATGTATAATTTCTAAATCTATTCACCCATTCATGGATATGGCACAAGATTGAAACTGCCCCTTAATAGAACAGGATTAAAGGAGACTTTCCCATCTCGAGACATCCCAATGTAC